AAGCGTATAGGCGTACCGCTGCTGCATGCAGCTGGCAGAGCTGCAGCAGCAGCAGCAGCAGCAGCAGCAGATGCAGAAGCAGGAACAGAAGCAGCACACACGACAGCAACCACAACTGCAGCAACACCAACACCAACAACAGCAACAGCAACAGCAACAGCAGCACCACCAACAACAGCAGCAACAGCAGCAACAACAACAGCAGCAGCAACAGCAGCAGCAGCAGCAGCAGCAGCAGATGACAGCTCGCGTTTTTTTTGTAATGTGTGGGGTCTTTTATGGTCCCCTTTATTGTGTTTTGTTTCTCCCGCTTATATTTCTTTTTTATTTATAAAATTAAAACAACGAGGTGTATATACACTGCAGCAGAAAGAGGAGACAGTTGATGCTGCTGCTCAGCTGCTGCAGCTTTTTGTCTCCGCATGCAGTCTCCTTGAGTCTCTCTTCTTGATTACCCCTTTGGCTGTATTAAAAAATAAAGTAATCCCTTTCCTGCAGCAGCAGCAGCAGCAGCAGCAGCAGCAGCAGCAACAGCAGCAGCAGCAGCAGCAGCAAGTGCTGATGACGATGATGAGTTCTTTGCAGGCAACATCTGCAGCATCTGCAACAGCAGCAACAGCAGCAGCAGCAGCAGCAGCAGCAGCAGCAGCTGCTGCTGCTGCTGCTGCTGCTGCTGCTGCTGCTCGCCCTTTAGCTGAGAATCTGACAAGGGAGACGATTGCTGCTGTCTCCTCCTCCTTGCGGGGTCTCCTTGATTTATACAATTCACGTGCAGCAATTCAGCTGCTGTGGGGAGACACAGCAGCAGCAGCAGCAGCAGCAGGAGCAGCAGCAGGAGAAACAGCAGGAGCAGCAGGAGAAACGGCAGCAGCAGCAGCAGGGGGATATACTGCTGCTGCTCCCTTTTTTGGTGCTGCTTCTGCTGCTCTTGGTGCTCCTTCTGCTGCTACTACACTTGCTGTTGCTGCTGCACCTGCTGCTGCTGCTGCACCTGCTGCTGCTGCTGCTGCTGCTGCTGCTGCAGCTGCTGGTGGGGGGTGTTTATTAGATGATGTATGGAGGTGGGTGTGGCGGGCTCGTGTTGCTGCTTACAGCTGCTTGAGTGCTGCTGTCTGCTGCAGCCAGAAAAATATATATATTTATATTTCGTTGTTGGTGGGGGAGACAGTGGGGCTGCATGCGTTGGTAGATAGACAAGTTCAGGTGTATGCGCAGCTCATGCGCCAGCAGCAGCAGCAGCAGCAACAGCAGCAGCAGCAGCAGCAGCAGCAGCAGATAGATGCTGCGTTGCCGCTGTGGGGGCCCCACACCCCACACCCCACACACCGCCGGGGATCGTCTCCTCCCGTCGTCTCCAGAGCTGGAGACAGTGTGGGGTCAGCTCCTGTCTCCTCTCTTGCTGCTGCTGCTGCTGCTGCTGCTGCTGCTGCTGCTCTCTTCTCAGGCAGCAGCCAACTCACGGCCTCAACCCTCACGCAGCAGCAACACCAGCAGCAGCAGCAGCAGCAGCAGCAGCAGCAGCAGCAGGTGCTGAACCCAGTTGTGCATGCAGCAACACAGATGCTGCAGAGCAGCAGCCTGGGGGCCCCCCATCTGCTGCGTAGTCTCAGCCAGGCCCCTGCCCTCTCCCCAACGTTTGCAGCAGCAGAAAGGGAAAGAATCAACGCTGCTGCTGCTGCTGCTTCTGCTGCTGCTGCTGCTGCTGCGGCGGCGGCAGACAACAGCAGCAGCAGCAGCAGCAGCACA